ATTAATCTATAGAATTTGGAAAGCACACGAAAGCTTGAAATATTTCTTTGGATTTATAAGTGGAGTCTCTAGCCTAGTCTAATATAAAAACCCATTTCTTCTACCTTAACAAATAACCCTCTATAAGAGAGTTTAACTCTCTCAGTTCCCAGGGCCATTTCTACTAAAGATCCATATGTATCTGGAGGACTTCGGTTTGGGAAGCAATGTACATAAGTTCTGTCATTGGCTGGTATTAATCATTTGAAATCACAATTTCAATATCAAAGATAGTCTTAATAAAGAAAAAGCAGAGCTCCAACCCATGTTTTATTATTAGAAGCTACTGTGGATGCTGTCAGTCAAATTACAGAATTACTATGCTATCCTTTTCACAGCATATTATGTGAGCTCTAGATAATGTATTTCCTTTGTAACCTTTCTACTTAAATTCAGTTAGCAACTGAAACCTAGAATACGTCTAAAGATTGGGTTGAATGATTGAGGGTCAGTTCTTTACCTGAAAGCTCTTTGTCAAAATTCTCAAATGCCTCTCACTAAAAGATGTTGATTGTGATGGATGTTCTAGCCATTAGTTGCTATTTTTGCTATAATCCCTAGGCATACGTTTGAAGCCAGGATTATCCCTTTTAACTTTTTTCAGATCTATTTTACAATTTTCCCACCTTTTCAGGTGTGATAGGTATCATGTAGTGAAGCAATATGACAGCATTGCAGAAACAATGGACACCGATGAAGCTATACCAATCCATTCAAAGGAAGACAACAAACAGTCTATGGCAGAGTTCCCAATGTTTCTGTCTTTGGGGACTGGGAGGGGGGAGAAGGGATAGCTCCACATAAGTGGCCAGCATGCATGCATGCATGCACACACAGTTCTATTTGCACAAGCAACATGCACGCACACACACCACTCATCAAATGGAGTGTGCGTGCACACATTTTCCAGCTGCTCGCGCAAATAGGGATGTGCTTGTGCACTCGCCTGCCATTTCCACAGCCCAGTTGCAAACAGTTCATGGCTCATTAGAGGGCCACAGCCCAGAGATTGGGGACCCCTGGTCTATGGGATGGGAAGGACAACCAATGCACACTATTTTTATATGTACATACTTCTTATTCTTGAATCTTTCTTGAATCTCTTGCTGAAATTCATCATGGTTTCTAAATTTCTTCAATATGAATTAACACTCTTATTTTCCTGGATTTATACTGAATGGTTCATTCCTGCCTATAGATTAAACGTGACTCAGAAATTCCACATTCTTAAAAAAAGCTTTCCATTTTCAAATGCTGCATTAATATTAATAGGTATAAAATAATTTGGTCAGAATTATTTTACATTAACTCAAATCAATCTATATTATGCTCATTGATCAATTTACATATTAACATCCCTTTGACAGGTTCTCTATGAATAACATTTAGAGCAATAGGTATTAATGAATGGTTAATTTCTTTTTGACTAAGCCCATTTCTTTTCTTGTTCCTTGCACTTAGAAACAGCTCAGTTGGGTTTATATATTTGCTCCATAAATTGTAATTGATGTTAATTGCTAAACTTTTACCTACAGAATTACATACAAAGCAGAATTTAGAGCACAACTTTTTATTATTTAGCTTCATCCACACAACATAACTGAACTATTCCATGTTCTGGATTTTTACAATATAATGAATAATCAACTGATCAAACAATAAATTGCTGGCTTAATAAAAACACTAAAGTCACCTCATTAATTAAGTCTAGCATGCTCAAGAATTCATTTAATTTAGGAAAGACTTGTGAATTAATATAGTTACCATCATATCTCAATAGTCCTCAGGAAAGCGTAGATTCTGGTCTCCATTTGTTTTTCTTTTCACACCAAATATTTTGGTGGTAAATACTTTATTCTTCCTTAAGACAGTTTTACTTTATGAAGGTACTTCTTATAAAATCTCATTTAGTGGAAGTGAAATCAAAATTTCCCAGAGGCTTACCTTGTGCCTCTTGCCGTTTACCGAAATGCCATGAAAGAACTTTGCCAGATTGTGTCCTGTATTTTATGGTTTGTCTCCAGAGGCATTCTGACAAGCATCTACATTCTAAGGAAAAAAGCTCTCTCTCCCTTTTCTCTCACTTCAGTATGTTTGCAAAAGCAGGCTAGAAGAAAATAACATTATATCTGGAATGCAGGTATAGCAAGAAATCACTTATTTAATGGAATCTGCAGATAACCTCCATGCTTCCTCAGTCTAAAATTGTACTTCTCAAACTTAGCAACTTTAAAATGCATGGACATTAACTTCCAGAACTCCCCAGCCAGCCAGGCTGACTAGGAAATTCTGGGAATTGATATCCACAAATTCATTGGGAAACAATGAACTAAAAAGAGACTACTGAGAGTTGTTTTACTGACAAAACAAATGTTTCCAGGATTGCCTTAAATAAAATTAATTTCATCATAGGAGAGACTAGGAAATACTTGACCATATTCTATCTTCCAATTTGCACTACTCATTTTTTTTATGAAATTGTACATTGCCAGTAACATTAGAAATTCAGATATTAAGATTATTTCAGAAATTATACTTTGGATTTCCTTGAGTTTCAGAGAGCGATACTATCACCCTTACACCAGAGCCAACATAAGGTTCACTTAAATTATTCATGCTCTGTGACTCCACTTTTACATTTACATTTGATTATAATTACATTAATTAAATACAATTAATATGCAACATATTGTGGATAGGTTTTTGAGATACTCTGGAAACTATACTCAAGGTTCCTGCAGCAAAGGACTCAGTTTGTTACTTCTGCCTTAAAACCACAATATGTCAAATTATGTGGGAAATCACAATGGCATCCCCAAATTTTTATCTATCATAGCAGGAACAATAGAGTTATCCAAACCCNTTCTCGGAGAAAAGGTGGCGGAACTCAAAACTGGCCACGCCCTCATCAAACCCTAGGACCGCCCCTTTAGAGAACAGGAATGCAAGTAAAATTTGGGAGGGGCTATTTCCGGTGTGGGAGGGGCTATTTCCGGTGCGGCCGGCCCGGAAAAAGGTGCCGGAACGCGGTTCCGCCGCGTTCCGGCTGAAAAAAAGCCCTGTCCAAACCCCTTAAAGAAAGCCAGGTTATGCTGGTTCATACTTGGGGTCCCACTACATCTGGAAATGATATAGGTAATCCTCAACTTACAACCACAACCGAGCCCAAAATCTCTGTTGCTAAGTGAAAGCTTTGTTGAGTGAGTTTTATCCTATTTTACGACTTTTCTTGCCAGAGTTGTTAAGTGAATCACTGCAGTTGGTAAATTAGTAACATGATTGTTAAGTGAATCGGGCTTCCCCATTGACTTTGCTTGTCAGTAGGTCGGAAAAGGAAATCACATGACCCCCCCAGACATTGCCACTGTCATAAATATGAGTCAGTTGCCAAGCATCTGAATTTTGATCACGTGGCCGTGGGGATGCTGCAATGGTCACAGTGTGAAAAACGGTCATAAGTCACTTTTTTCAGTGATGTTGTAACTTTGGACAGTCACTAAATGAACTGTTGTAAGTCGAGGACTGCCTGTACCATGTGGCAGAAAGCAGCATTGGACACTTACTTTAAACATCTAATCTAATATTTTAAACCATCATTATATAGTTTTTTTCCTCACTGTTCCTTAAATATTACAGGAATCCTTTCTAGACTTTAATTTTTGTCTAAATGGATAATTGAATATAAATATATTTATTACTGCTAGAAGATACAAACTAGCTTCTAGAAATAGGCTGTTCTGGACTATCAATGTCATGATGGAAAATTAGTTTTTCCTAGCTTCAGGAACCCCCACTACATGAAACTGGAAGATCACAAGCAGCTTCTTCCAGAAGAAACTCTTCAGACAGATAAACTGCAGGTGACATAGGTACCTGGAGATATCTAGGTGCCAAGTTATGTACAGCTTTATAAATTAAAACCAGCTACAAGCTTGATATAATACCTTGTGCTAAATGTCCTAGTTGTAGCTGTTTGAAGAAATCCACATTAGGAGGAAGAAGCAGGAGGACTGAACAAAATGCCATTGTGATTATCTTGTCACCTTGTATGTCACCTCCTGCTTTTTCTACATCAGAAGCATCCAAAAGTACCTAAACAGCTATGTTGTCGTAGTGC